GCTCTTTCTTTTCTGCTTATTAATAGCTCTGATTAAATTATCTCTGAAAAATCTACGTGGTGTGCACCAATGGGGGCCCAGCTCCCTTCAGGCTCTGGCCTAGATTATAGCAACGAGGGCAGGTGAGACAGGCAGTTGGGGGCTGGGGAAGGTGGCTGGGGCAGGGCTGCTCCCCCACCAGAATAAAGGCTCAGTGTCTGCCTCTCTGCTTCCCTCCCAGCCCCAGCTTAGCCTCTGACCCACCTCCACCCTTGGGACATTCACAGCTCCCTCACTGGGGACACCAGGCCTTCGCAGTGGCAGTTTTCTCTGCGGAGAGAGAGCTCTTCTCTCCCTTCTCCCCTTAGTCATCTCCTACTCATGTTTCACAGGGCAGCAGATCAGCCGGTTCACCATCACCAGCCCACCTGCTGGGTTAGGGGCCTGCTCTGGGCTTTCCCCTTCCCTGTTACCCTGGATGATAACTGCTAGTTGCCTTCTCTGCCCCCCATGAAATTTGAGTTCTGTGAAGTCAGATTCTGTGTCTGGGTCACTGCTGAATCCCCAGTGGCTGGCACAGGGCAGGCCCTTAGGAAATGATGAATGAATGAATGAATGAATGAATGAATGAATAATGAAAGAATTAGCACAATTAAAGGAACGATCAGGCCTCAGTGAATGAGGGCATGACTAACCTTACACACGTGGAAGCAAAGTTCCAGGTGTCAGGCCCCTTGAGCAGTGCCTATATGGCACTTAACCCCATTTCACAGATGGGGGAAACTGAGGCATAGAGCAGATGAGGCACAGGGCCAGTAACCTGAAGAGTCAAGATTCATATCAGTCGGTCTGAGTCTCCCCCTCCCCTTCTTCCTGCTTTCCCTACCTACAAGAAAACAAAACAAAAACTAAATAAATAGGTACATTTATTCACTGATTCAGAGATTAATTCAACAGACCTTTATTTAGTGCTAACTGTATGCCAGGCCTGTGCTAGAGATAAAATAATTTGACTGCAACCCCTGCCTTCAAAGAGCCCTAGGTTGGTGGGAAAGACGGACAAATAAGTGGGTCATATAACACAGACTGGGTACATCTTTAAAGGTGGAAGCGCTCCAGCCTAGAGGGTGACAGTCAGGGAAGGCTTCCCAGAGGAGGTGGCACCCTAGCTGAAATCTGAAGGAGGAGCAAGAATCAACTACCTGGAGGGAGGATATTCTATCATGGGCCTGGAAGTCCAAGAGAAACATAGGAGGATGTGCAGGTATTTTAGCAAGGCTGGTGGTGTAGGGAGCATACAGGGGTAGTGAGAAAAGAGGTGCCCTCTGTCCCCTTTCCCCCTCAGGGCCTCTTAGACCCCTGGCTGGAGCCAGCGTTCAGGGGCCTGCCTTCCTGGTGGTTCTGTGGACTGTGGCAAATCCATCTTGACACTCTCTCCATTCACATAATGCAGTTATTGGACACAACCAAGAGCAACTGGAAGCTGGATTGAGGCTGAGAGTTGCGAAAGGTGATGAGCATGAAAATCAGACCTCGGGGAGGCGGGCATGTGGAGGGTGGTATGGTGGTCACTGTGAGTGTGTGGTGTGGGACCTAAGTGAAGGCGCAAGACTGAGCATCTATGGGGGGTGTTCACTTGCCTGGAGGGGTGTGAGAGATACCTATAAGACACCCATCCACATATCTCGGAACTGGCTGTTGCCTGAATCCCACCATTAGCATATCATGAACTCAGACTTCAGAGATGGTGGGGCCTTTGAGATCTAAACCCCTGGCTGCATACTGGAATCACATGGGGGGCCTTTGGAAACTCCTGGGGCGTGCCAGCTCCAGAGTCTGACTGGTAGGTTGAGTTATGAGCCCCACCCTCCATTTCCAGCAGAGGAAACTGAGGAGCAGAGAGAAGAAACTTGCCCTTAAGGTCACACCCAGTCAATTAGTGTCTGGCACTGCATACCATAAATCAAGGTCAGGGGCTCTGGTGTTTGGGATGCAGTTCCATTACTGTGTGACCTTGTGCAAGTCACGTGGCCTTCCTCAGCTGTAAGATGTGGGTAATAATCAAACAGACCTCACAGGTTGCTGTGAGGGTGAAAGGAGATAGAAATATGTGATATAAATAGCACTGAGCACTGCCCAGCCCACTGTTGGTGTCAAGTCATGGTAACCTACAAGGGGAAAAATCCCAAACTTTGGAAAAGCTGTGATATAACCCGATTCCTGATCTCTTTCTTCCCAGGATTTTGATTGTCGGGACCCCTCTGCCCTGCACCTGGCTTGGGTGCGCCACCTGTTCACACCCCAATCCACCCAGAACGTTGCCCAGGCAACGTGCTCTGACGTCACTGCCAGTTCAGGCGGCTGGCCCCAGAGTGGAAGCAGCTGGTCGCGGGATCACATTCCCAGGTAAATCCCCACCCCCATCCCAACTCCCAAAGGTGTTGGGTTGGGTGGGGCTACAGAGAGAACTAAAGGTGTGGGGGGGGGGGGATATGAGCGTGTGAGCTGCTGGAAACTGCACTTGGCGGCTGCTCAGCAGCCAGAAACAGGGCCAGCTCCTGCCCTAGATAAGGCAGTAGGTGGCCTACTTGGGCTGGCCCTGGAGCTCCCCCGCGGGTGCCTCTCCCAGGTTCTGGGGTGGGTTGTCTCCTGGAAGTAGGCCAGGGCCAACTATAATCAGCTCATCCCACAGAGTACATTCAAGCAGGGTTTCCAAAGCCTTCCATGTCTTGATAACTACAGCTGGCATTTATTGAGCACTTACTGTGTTCTGAGTCCTTCCACACAATAACTCACTTTGCCCTCACAACAACCCTGTAAAGTAGGAATTATGATACACAAATAAGAAACTGAGGCACAGAGTCATGAAAATAAATGTCCAAGGTCAACAGCTAGCAAGGACATGGCTGGAACTCCACCCAGGTTCTGTGGGACTCTAGGGGGTCACATGGATATAGTCTGAGGGTGGTGGGAAGAGTTCTGGCTACTGCTTTGCATTTCTTTTTTTTTTTTTAATCCTCACCTGATAATATTTTTCCCCCACTTATCTTCAGATGAAATGGGAGGGAGGGAGAGAGAGAGAGAAACATCAATGTGAGAGAGACACATCCATTCGTGGCCTCCTGCAGGACCCCGACTGGGGTCTGGACGATCCACAACTGAGGTACCACCCTTGACCGAATCCAACCAGAGACTCTTTGGTCCGCGGGCTGTTGCTCTAACTGTTGAGCCAACCGTCCAGGGCTGCTTTGCATTTCTTTAGTGATCCTGAGGTCTTTTCTGGAAACCTAGCTTCCCAATTTGCTGTGTGATGGACACATGGCAACTGAGGGAATTGTTCCTCCCAGGACTCAATTTTGCCAGTTGTCAAATGGGACTGTTAAATGGGCCATTCATGGACTCTCAGGCAGACCTTTGAACCTATTTAGAAAGTGAAAGGCAAGGTTCAGTATAGTTTGATGGATTCAAAATTTGGAACCCAGGTGATACTGTGCCTCAGTTTCCCCAACTGTTAAGTGGGGTAGAATAACAGTGCCTGCCCCCCATGTATGTGGTGAGGATTCCACGAGGTAGAGTTTATAAAGAGCTCAGCATGGTGCCTGGTTATATAGTTAGTGCTCCAGAGACCTCAACCATGATACAAAAAAATCCATCACTGCCAAAAATATGCCCTGGGGCAAAGCACTCCAGATAAAATGTCTCATTACATCTCTTAACCTCAATTTCCTCTATAAGTTGGGAGTAGAATATTAGTACCTACCATAGCAGTTTTCTTATCTGTGAAATGGGAGTGATAACAGTACTTAACTCACAGGTTGTGTGTGAAGATTAGATAAAGTACTTCGTTACATAAGTGTTAGCTTCTTTTATAGTATTTATTATTTTTAATAATTAGAAACCAAATATGTGCTCAATAATGATGCTGGTTTTTTCACCCCCGTTCCCGACAAGGGGACTACAAGTACCAGCATGTCCTGCACCCCCAGTTGTGGCCTCTCCGCCCGGTGCCTGCGCGCTGCATCCCGGGAGTTGCAGTCCTTTCGAGGCTGGCCCCGCCTCGCCCCAGCTTGGGGGAGGAGGTTGGAGAGCCGCCCTGTCGGCCTTTGAATTTTGCCGCGAAAAGCGCGCGTGGCGGCCCCTCGGCCACGCCCCCCGCAGGACGCGGCGCCGCGTCACCCTGGTAACCGCCTCTCGGCCGTCGCTGATTGGGCCGGACCACGGAGGGCGGGCGGGGAGCGAGACGCCGCGGCAGCTGCGGACGCTCGCGCCTGTCAGTCGGGCCGGAGCGGAGCAGCAGGCAAGACACCCGGGCTGGCGGCTCCGCGAAGAGGCTGCGCGCACCAGCCGGGGCAGACGAAGAGTCGGGCCTGCCACCTGCGGGGCGAGACGCACGGCACCCGAACTTGAAGCGAGGCGAGGCGCCGGCGCGCGCCAGGCGGCGCGAGACTGAGGTCCCGGGAGCCCCCGCGCGCCGCCCCGGGCCATGGGCGCGTGAGAGCCCGGTGCGCGCCGCCCTTGGTGCACCTCCCGAGCTCGCACTCCCGGTGCACCGTCCTCTAGGACGTACCCACGGCCTCCGTGCTCTGTACGGACCGGTTATTTCTCGGCACCGAGGCCCCCGGGGCTGCATCCGAGCCTCCGCCGCCCGCTGCCGCCGCCTCGACTGCCGCTGTTCTCCGGCTTCCCCTCCCCCCACACCCGGGGCTCGGAGCAGGAGGAGGAGGGGCCGGTGCATTCTCGCCGCCGCTCTTTGCAACCTGCGGAGGCCGGTGCATGCCCGCGGAGGCGCCCGGACCGCTGCAGGTGCGTGCAACCCCAAAGGAGAAGACCACTCCCACCCCCGGACGAATCCGGGGGCTGTAAGCCGCCGGCGGGCGGTCGAGCGAGAGGAAGCAACAAAGACAGGCTGCAGCTGGGGCCGGCGAGAGGGGCCGCGGCCGCCGGGCTCCCGGTGAGGGCCGGAGAGGGCGCCCCGGGGAGCTGCGCGGACTGAGCTGCATCCCTGAGCAGGACCCAGAGGGGAGCCGCAGCGCCGCCCGCGGGACACGGTGAGCACGAGTCCTGGCGAGGATGCGCTGCTTGAGCGTCCGTGCGGCCCGGGTCCTGGGCGGGCGCGACCCCCACTGAGCCGAGAGATCCTCCAGCCCACGACTTCGGAAGGCGTGGGCCGGCGCGTACATCGCCTCACCGACAGCATCCCTTTCCGCCTGGAGAGAGGTATCGGCCCCCAAGGGGGGCTCTATCAGGCAGCCTCTGTCACCTCTGCATGGCTGCAACCCTGCGAGCGGAGAGTCGTCGCGGTTGAGACCTGGCTGATCCGGTGAGTTCCGCGAGGCAGGGTTGCGGGTTGGAGCTGGGGACACCTCCTGGCATCAGGGCAGCCCGGATTGGAAATAAAGGGACCCTGGACTGTTGGGGATCCTGAAGCAGCGGTGCCTCTTGACCTCCCTTCTCCTTTCCACACACAACTTGTCTGGACTCCCTAGCCGGCCGGAGTGGAGGTTGGGGACCCGTTGTGGGCACTCTCCTGGGCCGGATATATGCCAGGGGTCACCCCATCCCTAAAACCAACAGACAAAAGTAGCAAGGGTAGCGGCTCTGTCTTCCGAAAATTCCCGGGAACTCTCCGTCCTTGGAGTGTCTGAGGAGTGGGGCACCCAGGATGGGACAGTTTGGGGTTCTCCCAAGTAGCCTCTAAGATCTTCAGGGGACATCAGCTCAGAATGGTATGTGGAGTCCCGGTTACATGCAGGTGGCTGCTTTCGCGGATTGTGCTCTCTTAGGCTAGACTGTAACAAGGTCCCCTTACAGCCAGTATTCCTACAAAAAACTCCCAAGTATGGCTGGTGCCCAATGCATGGCGGTGTGATGTCACTACCAGGCCTCTGACGTCACTGGGGTTGTGATAGAGACACGACTTATCTTGATCCAAGGCCAGAGGGGGCAGGAGTTCGTAACCAGGGGCCCAGCTGGATGCCTTTGGGTGGTGGAGGGGTGAAGACAGACTCCCCACCCTAACTGCAGTCCAATGACCTAAATCCCCAGTGCGCTGATAAGGTGGGGGAGGGAGGCAGCACCAGCTGTCTCTGATGATGCTCCTCCCCCCAAGGACAGGTGTTCAGCTTTGGTCATATAGCCTGGCAGTGCCTGGGGGCTTAGGACTCCCAAACAGCAACTTCCTGCTTTCAGAAAAGATGTTAGAGAGACCACCTTCCTGAACCACACACCCAGCCAGCAGGCTGAAGTTCCCTGGAGTCCCCAGAGAGCTATGGGCCCCCTGCCTTAAAAAGGGCGACTTCAGGAAAACATAGGTGCCTCACCCCCAGCAAGGGAAGGTGCAGAGGAGTTGCTGCCTGCTGCCTCTGAAGTCCGGGGAGTCCCCCTGCTGTTCTCTGCCAAGATGAGGGGCCTTGGCCAAGCCTAAACTGACTGCCCCACTCCTTTGGTCTTCAAGATGATTTTGACAAGCTCCATGTGGAGCTCATTAAGTGAATGGAGGGCAAATCAGGCCCATCAGTGCCAAGGTCTGAATAAAGCATGTTTCTGCCAAGGGGCCAGCTTTGATGGGGGTCAGGCACCAGGTCTCTCCTCCCCACCACATTCTAGAACTGGCCCTATTCCTTGTGAAGGCCCAGAGAACCCCCAGGCAGCATCCTGCTACTGCCTCTGATTCCTCTTCTAAGTTCCTTCCAGCAATTGCTGCCAGTGTCGGATGTGGGTGAAGCTGCTGTGATCACATTTCTAGGAAAAGGTTAGAGAACTGTGTCATTGCTTCAGTGGCGTGGGGTGGGGTGAGAGCAGAGGGAAGTGTATGTGAGGTCATTATGAGAAGCCAGGCCCCATTTCTATGCAGCGAACATTTATTTCTGTTCTCCTACCCGGCTCTCTAGCTAGATGAACAGGTCAATAAATATCAGTGGAGCTGCTTTTGGGGACTTTACAGAGAGATGATATTTCCAGCTGAAATGGTGTCGTTAAACACACAGGCTTCCAAGGACAGAGGAGCAATAGCAGATGTGGGGAGAAGTGGGAGAGGTGGGCAGGAGGGCTGTTTATGCTGCCTCTCGAAGCTTCCCAGTTTAGAAACAAACTCGGAGCGTGCCAGAGAGCCACAAACACAGGCAGTTGGAGGTCCTCCATGGAGTATTTACACTTCCACAGCCAAGGCGGAGGGAAAGGCTGTCAGAATTGGGCGATTCCTTCTGTTCGCTTCCCTGGGCTTGGCAGTAACACCAGGTGACGTGCAGGAGGGAGTGCCAGCTTACCCAGCATCTTCCTTTGTGCCAGGCATTTTATAGGATCTCAGTTATTCCTTAAAGTGACTCGTGTGCTGTGACCCATTATGCAGATGAGGGAACCTGAGGCTCAGACAGAGGAAGTGATGAGCTATAGTTGCCTGAGCAGCTGCAGAGGTTCGGCTCTCAACTGTGCTGGTTTCAGAGTTCCTAGGTCTTCCCACTCTCTTCCATGGGTGGACGGGAGGCATTCACACTTGTTGTACAGGGTCCCTGCAAGAGTCAGGGACTATTGGCTATAGAGGAAGTCTGGCCTCATCAAGATGTCTTGCCACCCTGAAACCCAGGTTGGGATCCTGCTTCCCCCCCCTACATACAGGACTTCTGCCCTGGCCTTTTGCCACTTCTGCCCTGGCCTTGTGGGCAGCCTGCTCCCCTCACCCCTGGCACCTCTTTCTCCAGCACTGGGGAAAAGAAGGTAGGGCATAAAACCTGCCTGCCAGGAAGGCATGAGAGAGCTGGCCCTAGGCTCCTTGTCATTTGCCCCTGTGGGCTTCCCTGGGGGTGGGGTGTGAGACTGCCCCTAGCCATCCCAGGGACCCTCAGAGGCACCCAGCTGGTGGGGAAGGCAAGAGCATCGTTGGTAGATGTGGCTTCCTGACCCAGCCTGAGGGTGGAGCAGGGCCCTATAGGAAGGGTGCCATGTGACTCTCAAAAAGAACAAATAAGGATATGCCAGGCAGAAGAATGTAAAGAGTGTTCTGGGCTGTGGGAGTGGCCATGTAGTGGGCCTATGATGTCTGCGGTGTGCTGAAAGAGGTTGAGGGGTGTCCCCGGGGTGGCTGTGTCCTGGAGGCTTAGGTGGATGGGGAGGTTTAAGCAGGGGAGAGGGTCCAGTTAGGGTTCCCTTGCTAGAGATGGGACCCTGGACATCCCTTCCAGTCAGGGTGGGGAGGGCCTTCTCAGCCCTCTGGACAGTCCTCTTTCTCAAGGTTAGCTGTCCACCCTCCACCTCCAGTAATCCTTATCACTTACCTAATTCCATATAAGCTCACCCATCCCCTCTCCCTTCTGAGCCTCACAGTTGCGCTGGACCTGGGCTGGGTTACTTAAACCCCCAACAGTAAAGAGCCAAGCTGTTGAGTGAGTCCACCCCTAGTTGGCTGTGTGACCTTGAGTGAGTAGCTTTGCCTATCTGAGCCTCAGTTTCCTCATCTGTGAGAAGGAGCTGATAATAGCCCCCACTCCCCAGGGTGTGGTAAGGGTTCAGTGAGGACATAGCACAGGTGGTGGCATACAGTAAGCAACCCATAAATGCACATTCTCGTGGCCACTGTTAGCCTCAACCTCAGAATCGGGCCTTGAAAGGCTTTCCCAGTCCCTCTTGTAGCCAAACATCAAAGACCCCCCAGGGCAGGTCCGGTACTTTCACCCCTCCAGTTGCCTCTGCTGGGTCTCCCACCCACCTACCCCGGGCACCCTACATATGTGGCTCCCCATCTGAGCTCCTGGGGTGGGCGCTGGGGCCTCGCCAGGGGGCCTCCTCCCCAACCCCCCCTCCCCCCACCCCCCTCCACCTTCGAATCCCTCACAAACCGGAGGAAGCAAGCGGAGCAGCTTATATTCATGAACCGTAATTCAATCAGGCGGCGATTCCTCTGGGCTTGGGGCGGGGGTGAGAACGAGGAGGCGCGCACAAAAGGGCCGCTTTATTACCTCCCGCGGGCCGGGAATTGCTGCTCTCCCCCAGCAGCGGCCGGAGCCGCCTTTATTGTGTTAACCCATTTGCGTGTCAAGAGCTATTGTGCGCTTTCTCTGCCTCTGCCGGGCGGGCTGCGGGAGGAGGGCTGCGCGGGCCGGTCACCTCCGCGGGCGCCGCCCACCGCCCTGATTGGTTGCTAAGTGATTTGCATCCAAGGTAATCACTTTTATCTCAGAAGGATGTCGACTATAATTATAAGCTACTGACATCTTTTGAAATCTGCCTAATGACTATTTTAGTCTGCACAGGGTGGGGAGGAGGGAATTCTGGAGGCTAGAGGGGTGGGGGTGGGGGAGAGAGGAGGCTGGAAGGTGGTTGGATTCCTTCTACCTGGACCATTGATTCGTTAGTTGAGAAATATCTGAGTGCCTACTGCGTGCCTGTGCCTTGAACAAAAGATGATGCGGAGATAGGAGTGTTGCATTCCTGTGGGCGGAGCTAGTGCCATTTCAGAGATGGGGAAATAGAGGCGCTAGGGAATGAGCCACCTGCCCAGAGTCACACATCCAATAAGTGGCTGGAAGCTGAGTATCTCTAACCGCTCAAATTCCTGTGTCAGCTACAGGACTGGGGTATAGACAGAAATAATAATGGTAATTATTCCTGAGTAGAGGTCACCTGTCTGGCACCTTCCAGAGCTTATGTCATAGCCCTAAGAAGTGCTGGTGCTACCCCATTTTACCAGGGAGGAAGTGGGGCACAGAGAAATTATGTCACTACCCAAGGTCACACAGCCAGAGAGTGGCAGAAATATGAGGTCTGTTTGTGGCCAGAAGTGGGGTTCCAGCTACCCCCTCCTCTACCCCTTGTGGTTCCATTCCGCAAACACCTGGCATCAGCCTGGGCCAGGGCACCCTGCTGGCCATCCCTGGGTGGCAAAGCTGTACGGAATCAGATGGCCCACAGCCTCCATGGGGCGTAAGATGAGTCTGCAACTAACTCAAATTCTGGACAGAGCCAGAGCAGGGCTGGAGGAGAGACCTCAAGGAGGGGGAAACTACAGCTGATCATGGAGGGCTTCCTGACAGAGGGGGCTTTTGCTCTGGACCCTGAAGACTGGGTGGGCCAGCATGGAGTGAATGGAGATGTCACTGGCAGAGGGCGGTTGAGAACCTGGGGGCATGACCAGGAAGAGCAGGGGAAGCTTATAAGAGGGTGGAGGTAAAAGGGAGATAATCGAGGATGGTGTGCCGGGGCTCGAGTGTGATTGAGGTGGAACCCCAGCTCTGTGTGTTCAGACAAATCACTTTACCTCACTGGGCCTCACTTTCCTCTTCTGTTCAAGGGAGTCATAGAAGTTTTCTCACAGGCCTGTCGATGGAA